TACTCAGCCATTAAAAAGAATTCATTTGAATCAGTTCTAATGAGATGGATGAAACTGGAGCCCATTATACAGAGCGAAGTAAGCCAGAAAGATAAAGACCATTACAGTATACTAACACATATATATGGAATTTAGAAAGATGGTAACGATAACCCTATATGCAAAACAGAAAAAGAGACTCAGATGTATAGAACAGACTTGTGGACTCTGTGGGAGAAGGCGAGGGTGGGATGTTTCGAGAGAACAGCATCGAAACATGTATATTATCTAGGGTGAAACAGATCACCAGCCCAGGCTGGATGCATGAGACAAGTGCTCGGGCCTGGTGCACTGGGAGGACCCGAAGGGATCGGGTGGAGAGGGAGGTGGGAGGGGGGACCAGGATGGGGAATACATGTAAATCCATGGCTAATTCATTTCAGTGTATGACAAAAACCACTGCAATGTTGTAAAGTAATTAGCCTCCAGCTAATAAAAATAAATGGAAAAAATAAAGAAATAAATAAAAAAAGCATACCAGGAAAATATGCCCACTAAATAGATGAATTTATAACCAATCATTTCAAAATGAGCTAGAAAAATGACTCAAGACATGAAAGAATAACACAAATCAGATGTCAAAAAACTAAGAAGGTAACGGAATTCAGGAAAGTATCAGAAATTGAAAAAAAAATTTTCAAAAATGAAGATTAAACCTGAACAAACCCAAGAGAAAATATATACAACACATAATGCTTTAAGAGAACAAGAAGGTAAAAAGGAGGAACAGTTTTGGAATCAAACAAACTGAAGAGATTAAAAGGGTGATAGAAAGCAATCACTTAAATAAAGTAATAAGGATCCAACATTCCAGTAACAGAAGTCTTTAAAGACCACCACCACAAGAGAACAAATTAGTAAAGACTATAATTTGAAAAAACTTTTTTGAAAACAAAAACCAAAATCTGAAACTACTGACTGAAGGAGCACCACGTACACTTAAGAATTCAGCCCAGAAGGCCAACATCTGATATTCCAAAGGCAACACTTCACTTATGTCATAAGAAAACAGAACAACATATTTCAGATATTCAAGGAAAAAACTATGAATAAAGTATCTTACATTTGGTACAATTGATGTTTCATCACATGGAAGACACAGAAACTTATCAAAATGCCAAAAATTGGGAAACACTGCTCCCAAGATGGCAAGCAATAACATTCTTGCTGACACAGATTAGATAAGTA